CGATTCTTGAAGCCTGCAGGGTTAACGGGGCGCATAGTAACGTGTCAAGCTTGTGTAAGACGGTCGTTTTAGCAGTGGAAACAGCGGCCGCCATCGCTGTCGACTTCGGAGATCAACTGGAGAGACAGTTTTACTAGCTGCGGCTGGTGAGCGTCGAACGACTTAGATTCAGCTTCGGAGCGCGGAGGAAACGGACGAGAGAAACGAAAACGATTTTCTAAAATACCACTACCACTACAGCTTCGGCTGTTGGGAGTAATAATGGTAGCAATAGCGCGACTAGTGCCACTGCCATTGTAACTACAAGCACGGCCAAAGCTTCGTCGGCTGGCGAACAGTGAAGCGCCGCTCTTTCTGATCTTGTTTTGTTCTGGGCCGGTTCGAGGCTATTCAGTACCCTTTCTGCCAGCAAGCCAACGCGGTGACGGCAGCGGCCACATCCGCTGAAGATGTGCATGTTTATATCTGCTAGAATAAAATGTAGCGGCATAGTAACTACAGCTGGAGGGAAAACGTTGAGCGAGCTACTATTTATGAGACGAAATCTACCGAAGAGGTATTACCACTTTCATATTTAGACTTCGCATAGGTAAGTGGATAAGTGGATCACTTCTGAACAAAAGAAGTGGACTCTAACGAAGGAAAAAGAATAACATTGGTGTGCACGGGCTATGGGAACTGCCGACAGCTCTTGTAGATGGAGACAACGCGACTAAGGAAGCTTGCTTTGCTTCTGGTATCGCAGTAGGCTACGTTGAATGGTTCCTTTCCGTTTTCGAGAGGTCCGTATTGTTGTCCAAGATCGATAACAGATCGTCTACAGAGCACAAACAAAACGGGTTTTGGATTCGATAGTATCGTTCATTATTTACAGATTACGGTTTTAGGTGCATAGCGAGCTGAGGATGGTAAACGAATCGGAAATCCGCCTGCATTCGCTAGTGAAGTATTATCATTATGCATTGACTCAAGGTGCCGACTGAAATACTAAATATCCAGAAATTTAGTTGCTATTGATGAGGTATGGTTGAAACAAAACGCACATTCGCGCAAGACCTCAATCTCACGGATTAGTGCGTTTAAAATTCCTCTTATCGAATACAGTTATGTTGTGTTATTATTTATGTGGGATAGCATAACTTCATAACATTTAGTCGTTGTCTGTCATTGTGAATAATTCATATTTATTTAATATTCGTTTGCCGAAATCCCTTGAAGCCTCCACCATGTGTCCTGATTTTTCTTTGATTCTACTCGTTCCCTTTTGGAGGGGCGGCTGCGGCCAGGTGCGTGATAGGATCACATAATGCAGACTTTTATTTTTGTGCGGGCTAAAACAGCCATTTGCGTTGATTAGAAAGAGTATTATTCTTCCGTGTAACAGATAGCACAGACTGCTCTTTTGTCCACCTTGAAAATGGCCTGATGCCAAAAACCATATTTTCATATGGTTTAACAACGTCTAACAGCACCTTTACCATTGCGCGAGCTGCAATGCTTGTTGGATAAACTGGCAACAAGTTCTAAAATGATTAATGCGTTTTGAACAGTTTAAGCACTGATATGTAGTCAAACAAGCCTTAGTAGTAGCTATTGTGGACTGCTTCTTCAATCTTTTTTTGAGGCTGTAACTAGGTCTCGACGCTTCTTTCAGATTCCTAAAACCCGCTGGAGTTCTAAAGGAATGTCAATTAAAGGCTTAAGGCACACCCGTTTTCCAACTGCGCTTCGCGGTGGCATTCCCATCCTAGGTTATCCTCTACTTGCGCGAAACCGCAGCTGGCCCGAAGTGGGCTATTTGTTGAGCTGGTAGGCCAATCTTACGGAGAGGAAAAACGACAGGGGGGTTACCGCTTCGGTCGTCGTTCTCTGAGAGATTCCTCGCTGTCTTCAAAGTAAGAAGTCGTGCTCAGGTTGCCAGCAAGGATACATATATATATATATAGCTTTGTTTCTGTCGTTATTGAGTTGTAGTTGGGGGATCCGGGAGGTAACGGGCTTGCTATATCTGTGCTAGCTCAACGCTGGTGGTAGAGCCAGCGTCGGCAACGGTTGGTAAGAAATTACGTTATTGTAGTTCAATGGGAGTTTTACCAGTTTGTGTAACGAGTTCAGCATCAGTTGAAAGAAAAAACAGTGATGCAGTCCGCTTCTTCATAATTCGGATCGCATCAGATAGTGACAAAACTAATAATGCTAAGTATGTATTACTGTTGACACTTGCCAATCGTCCTATGCAGCTTGAATGAAAGCAACTGTAGTCTGTATGACAAAAGAAAACAGTTGTATGAAATATTTCTCCTTAATAAACGCGACTCCTCAAACCCTTTTTGGATTAGAGTAGTAAAGCTCGTTAGAGTAGTAAAAATCCGGTCATACTGAAAAGCATTAAAGGTAATAGCATTATGCAAAGATGAGCATATATCATGTGACTGATGCATACTCATTTTCTTTATAATGGGCAGCTGTTAGATTTCGCTACCCATCAAATCATCGCATAGGCTAAAGCGATGAACTAACATTATAAAAAAGGCATTTTGATATAGCATTACCCTCTATCTTGTATACATACTACCTCTATTAGGCCCTATAAATAGACAGGACATACATATCACCTTTATGGCCCCTGTGGCATATATATCTCTAATGTACATATGTGTGTGATATGTCATATCTGTGCGCACTAACGTCTATAAGACGAAACCAATCGCGGTAGGCCGACATTTCGGCCAAGTTTTCCGCACGCATGGCAAAGGTGACAATGGCTATGTGTTATTTGTACTTGCGCTACCAAGGAAGCACGCTTTGGGCGGGTCTATTTCCTATTAAACTCGAGTTCCTGTTAATGAAAACAGGTTCTTTACGCAGGTAAGCTAAAAAGTCTTCTGACGCCTTGAGAGTGGGAACTGTTTTAAGCCGAAAGGTCCGCGAGGAGAACTGATTTTACCCACAATAATTTATATTGTATGGATCATGATTAGATCGCCAAGCGTTTTTGCTGTTGACATTTTTACCGAGGACAAATATTTTCTTGTCGGAAAAACATTGTAGATAACTTGCTGCTCCATTTTTGAAAGAATTGAGAACCAACGACAACGATCAATTATTGCTCTTATTGCCCTTGGGAAGTATCGGCGATCCCACATCAAGGCTTTCTGCCAACAATCTCACCTCAAGAGAACAATCATCAGCAATGCGTCTTAGATGGCAACGCTTAACTTGGAAGTCGTCACTGTTTTTTGTCGTTTCCGTTACACTGTACTGCTACAATTGGCTCTTCATTCTTCTTCAGACGTATATTTATTTCCAATGGTGTGTGTTGTAAATTTTAGGTAACGCATATGCTTAACGTTCTCTATTACGGCTCGTGTCATCGATAGAATATGTCTACGTTTTGGTGCTACATATGTATAACTAGGCAGACAGAACCTAAAACAGGGTACGTTCCATGCTACAGCTGTCCTACTCTGGCTGAAATAGTACTGCTCATATCCTCATACGTTTTCGTATTTTGCTAGCGTCAAATTAATTGCAAACGAAACCCTTCTCAGCTATTATTCCAGCCCATCCGGATAAGTTCGGCACGATAAGCATATATATTCAGTATAGCTTCGGCAATAATTATGGCAGATATTCGCATTGATGATCATAATGTGATCTGTGTAGATTCAATCTAACCTCAGGCATCTACTTTACGATACGTCATGATACCGAACAGGTGCGTCGTGGCCTTATCCGGCGTATCCGGTATTCTTGTGCATGTCGCTAGCCTAAATCTAAACAGCTGGTGGTAAGCAAACCTGCATTCATTCAACAACCGTAAAAACTACGCGTGATCTTATCCGGGTAGCAACTTCAAAATGACACCAAAAAATCAACAACAAATATGAATGAATAAATATATTCACATAAATCTTTCTTTACGGAAATCATTATCCATTTAAACCTTCGCTTCTTCAGTTATTTGAGGGTATAAGAAGGTATAAGTTCACCTACTGATAGAAAACTTAATTTTTACAGTTTCATTGAAAACAAAAAAGCCAATGATGGCCTGAAGTTATATGCTACATCAAACAGTGGTTTTGGTAGGATGTAGACCTCTTCACAGATAGGCCGCGAATTTTCGATCTACGGCCATCAACAAGCGGTCGACAAACTCAAGGAAAGCAATTGTGCCGTTACTGATGGCATAGGGCGATATTTAAGCAAACAAAAATGGCCAAAAACAGGATAAGGCGAATAACCGCTATGAAGAAAACCAAACGAACCCATCTATTTGATATCAAAGCACAGTCATATATATATATATATATATATATATATATATATATATATATAATCCGTAATAAAAAAAAATTTTTAGCTTGATTATGCCGACAACATAGCCGTCGCTGTTCGTAGCGTTTTACCAACAACATATTCTGCATTGTAAGCGTATACTTAGAGCACAATACCTTATCTGTAATAATAGGCACATCAAGGCGCGTTAGGTAGGCCAGCTATTATGCTTACATGCGTGATAAAAATACAGGTTATTTGACCTCATTTTACCTGGTTTAGTGGCTATAGTTTGCTAGAGTCATATAATAAGTGTAATTATATACATATATATATTTATATTGACTTATTACGGGGCCTTGGTCTACGGGTCAATAATATTGACGAACGGTGTGCTCGTCACCACGTATTATTATAAAACGGAACTTGTTGCGAGCCGAATAGTAATTTCTTTGAATACCATAGGAATTGAATGAATAAACGATTCTTGTAATCACTTTTGGTAAAGCTTATTGATGATTGATCTAGAATATCAAGTTAGGATTATCTTTCTAATGGTTAGACCGGTCAAATCATGTTACTGGTATTAGAAGATATGAGCAATTGTAGGAAATACCAGGTGCTGACGTTTCATAGATTATCCGTATTTTTCAACAGTGCCAGTGAAAACGTAAAGAGCAGACATATTAATACGCTTTAGCTGATATTGGTCGCGTACTCACGCACGATTGCGGTGGTCATCGTCGTCACAGTGGGCGAAGCACGATCATTTATACAGCAAACGTCAGAACACTTTCAGCTCACCATATGGCTCTGTTTTACTGAAAAAAAAACGGTGGGAGTTTTTTTTTCAGTGTCGCGGTTCGCTAACGGCAGTGGAAGAAATTTGCTTACTGACAATTCATGACGACTTCATGACGACTCATTCCAGTTTTATTTGACGCAGGCGATCGATCCGCTCTATTGTTTTGGCCTTGGCAAATGTTTTTGGCCAACGTAACCATGGTAGATGACAGTCTGCTTAGGAATCATTTACTATGGACGATATATATATTTGAAGGCCTGTTAAAGTCTGATCGACATAGCTATATATATTTTTGATATTTTGAACTAATGCCCGACAGGGTTAAGTACCGGACTCAGAACACAAAAACTTTTTGACATTTTTGATATAACAGATATTGTCGCGTAGATTGAATTACTTTTCGTGTAATATATAATGCAGTTAATTATAACGTCGCCTGTAACCGATCAAGCCTGAAGGGAAAAGGGATTCCGGTAAAGGGGCATGGCCAGTTCGATCGCGGCAAAAGGTTTGAAGGCCTATTTTCGCTCAAGTATTACTATTGTCATAGGTATCAGTATAATTTTGAACAATAGGCATCATCAACTCTATTATTTTGAATCTAATTATATTTAATAATGCATCGGGTATACAGCAACAGTAAGATAGTAAACGTTTATTTATGAGATATGCGATGTGGGCAGAGTTGGAGCCCTAATTGATTAACTTACTGGATACAATTTAAATAGTATGCCAACTGCATGCGATAGTTTACAAACTATAATAACGAACCGGGTCTTAAATAGTACAGAAATATCGTGGAAAGTGGGTCTGATTCAGTTAGTAGCAGTCCTTATTGGTATAGCGGCCAAAATGTTCGACTTCAGCATCTTGCGATAACTATACGTCGTTTATAACTTGGTTCATAGTTTTCCACCAGCCTATAATTTGACATTGATTTGTAAACCTAGGTCTATTTCCGCCTTACCGGTGCTTTACTTCGTTTTTACCTGCGTTCCAAAAATTTCGTCGAACGCCTACATTTTCCCCACACCCCATTACTTTGGTTAAATCGTCGACTTTTCTATGTATCCGAGAGACAGGATAAGAATACTAAAAGCTCCCTGTAGTGTTATCTTCTCTATTAAAGCCTGCCTTAAAATGATTAAAACAGAGAAAATCCTGAGACTCTTCGAGAGCCTCAGTGCACATAGATACGCACAAGCACACAGAAATGTTGTTAGAGTCGTTTGGCACTTCCCCTCCTCTCTCAAGTATATGCAGAGAGGTACTCAGATAAATGTGGAAAGCATCAGAAGCACCATATCTCTAAGCAAGGATCATAAAGCACTCGAAGCCACTGTGGCTATCTTTGCCATCATAGCAGTAGCTTTAGACGTTTACATCAATTTCCACATGACCGCATGGTACAGGGGCGTGGGTATGTTGGTGTGCGAATGTGTGTTAATGTAGTACTCTTGGCTGAATAACGGGCAAAAGAAAAAAGGTTGTAAGCAACAGGTCTGACTAATCCACTGTCAATAGATCTACTACAATTGAGTAGCAGTAGCAGGACTGCCAGTCAAATGCTATCTCTATTATAGTAGTTGGTCTTGTAACCATGGTAGCCAATTTCTGGTCCTTCTTTGGCGCCTCTTTAAAGGACTATGATGAGTACTGTCATTTAATATATTACGCACTACATTGCTGACCTCGGAATAAAGTGCCATTAAGCGGCGTAGGTTTAACGGAAACAGCAACTAGGAATCACAGGAGAATCTTCTGCAACAGAAAAAGAAATTTTGAACAGGTCATAGAACACTCATAGCACACGAATAAGCTATAATACATAACAATGGTGTATTGAGCTCGGCATATTAAGATAGGCTGCTCTTTTAGAAAAACGATTTGTCGTCTGCACTTCCATGAGGTCTTGCTTGAATCCGTAACCCTACTCAATTTCCTTGACTAGGCCAATGTATGCCTTACTATAATTTTTTTCCGTAGCCCACACCCACCTCCGAAAGGTAGTATTAGGATAAGTAGTAAAAAGGAATAACTTGCCAAGTGCGAGGAACGCACCACCGGCTAACGAACGAACGATCTGTTTACTGCAAAATCACTCTTGTTGGAGCCAGACTGGCTGTCCTCCTGCAAGACGCTAACGACAACCGCACCCAGTATTGACAGTTTTGCAGCAGTGTCGACCGACCTCGTTTAGAGCATGATCACTGCAATTAGTTTTCTGCCAGCTGTTGACAAACAGCATCATTGCTTCCACTACAATTGCCAGTATGACCACTGCTACTACTAATATTTTTATTGCTGGTAGATGGCGCCACCGATACTGTCGCTGTTACTACCGCCGCCCTCTGGTGTCCCGATAGCTGCGAGCTCTGGCACTATACAGGGGAATTACTTTCGATCAACCATTCGTTCCACGCAGACACTGTAGTGTGGTAGCTCTCTGGGCTTCCTGGTTGACTGTCACTGTATGGATGAGAAACTTTGTGAAAAATGGCAATTCTTTTCCGGAATGGGAAAGCCCGTCTAACCGAACGGGCTCATCCAACTGAGTCAAAGCAACGTTGCTCGAACAAGCTCTCCTATAGCAGTTACAACATCTAGCGCAAAGTCTTCCGGTCTCCCACGGTATTGATAATAGATTCGGAAACTTTTGCTTTCCGTAGTCATCTTCAAAGAATCTGACTCCTTCTCAGCTTCAGCTAAACGGCAGAACGGAAGGGCGGACGGGTAGTGGGTGAGTGCAGAGCGGTGCAAATTGAGTAACCTCTAGCAAGCTCAATATTAAGTTTCATATTTCCACTTGAACTTCGCAAAAGAGCTCATGCTAGAAGAGACTTGAGAAAAAACAAAAGAAAAATGTGTGTAACGCACTAGCCAATGAACAATCTAATTTAGCTTAGGAGGTCTTCTCGAAAGCAGCACCGTTCGCATAAGAGGCAGTTCCCATACTGTACGAAAAAATGATGTGAACCATCGCCGTGAACAGATCGTTAAGGTAAACTTGTTTCATGCGGTTATATTGTTCCTCGCTAAAAACGTCATCTAACTAAGTTATAAAAATCCTAGAGAATATCTAGTAGCTTGTAAGTTGCTAACACCTCTAAAGTGAGAGAAGGGGATGCAAAGTATTCTGCCCTAAGTACTTTTGAGGACAGATATAGGTTTGGATCATTCAAATGTGCTTTTCCCCCTCGTAGAGTTCAACTAAATCGTTTTGATTCTTTATGGACGCTATTCGACGGGGTGGTCGTACTGTTTTACTTATGGAAATTCGAAGAGAGCCTGTAAGATTATTGTCTCATCTCAAAATAGCTTCTGGTTCACATGCATACCGTGTGTACGACAATACGTCTAGACCACTTTTGCCATTGATGGCGATATTACTCGAGCCGGACCTGACTTAAAAAAGCCGAACCTCGTTACAAAATACTAAGGGACCTTGTGCGTGTCCCCTAACAATTCTTCCCAGTACCTGACCTGAGCAATGCGACAAGACAACCTAGTCCATAAGAGACTGTACTGTATCTAATTTTAATTCTCCCCCTCTTTCCGAACGGCCACGATAGCGTATGTATCTGTATCCTTATGCGAGTGTCTGTGTGTTCGTAACGATGAATACGGATATAAAGATCCTTCCCTTTTTGTACTTATATTCTTCGTCGTCCTTTAAAGGCTCAGCGGATGTATCAGCCTTGGCCTTAGCTTACCATAGATTTATGCCTATCACTCTATTACCCACTCTCTATCTCATTGTCAAGTTATCTTTATGACTTGTTAGCTGAAAACTCTTTCTTTTTTTTACCTTCGCCATTACTCCTTTTATTCTATGAGGCAGCTAGCCTAGCTTTAGCCACTGAAAATCATACGAGCCCAACTTGTGTCCAGAGACGTCGGACGTCGGTGCTACAAATGACTTTGGCTCGCCGGCCCACTCTCCAAGGAAGCACAAGGTCCTCGCAGCAGAAACAGTTCACACAACCCCGTCCGCATCAAAGACTGGGGCATCCGCTCACTGTTCTACGTCTCGTTCCTTATCGTGTCTAAGCTGGAGTGAAATACTTTTATCATTATTTAATATTATCTCTGCGCTCGGACAGCTAAATTCATATCACATTGCTTTTCTAGACCCCTCTTTCCTCTTGAAATTTTACGAAAGGAGCAGGTTCGCGGTCGTAGTTTCTTAAATGACATCCTCTCGATTGCAGCATCGGGCAGAAGGGGCGACATGAAACTATGCAATACTCGTACGTGAACAGCTACCTTTTCGGATAGCGTTTCTCTTTTTTAGGGCTTCTACTAGGATCACGCTTATGGTTAGCAACACACCTCACGTAATCAAAGGCTTTACCATGCCTCATGGTATTATAAAAATATGCTGTAACCGTAGTCTGCTGCTGCTATTGTCACTTACGTTTCCGTCTTAAGCTGTCTTTATATAAAACAGGGTAACTTGTCGCTTTATCGTAAGCTACATTAGAATAAAACTGACTTTGCTAACGAAAGGAACGAAGTTACTGAATCTAAAGGTATTCGCTTTTTTCTTGCCGTTGAAACGCTCTGTTGGGTCGTAACTGACGTTGACTAAAACATAAGGGCAAATGGAGGATAACAGTAATGGCAGATGTTGTATGGGGTCGAAAATGCACCACGGGTCCTATACACCTAGCCACCATCCCGTGGCATTGGCAGTGCAGTGCTTCGGCAGGGCTGTTCATAGCGATTATCCTAATACGCAGGAAACATACAACTAGCGGACCATGGTAAGGACTTGTGGCCTGCCGGTTTCCCTCCGCATCACCTCGTCTACGTAAGTTTTGCTTGTCTATGGTCCTTCCGTTCCCATATTTTGGCACAATGTATATCTACGAAAAACAAACTGACATGGCACGAGCAATCCAGACAAGCAGGCGGGCGTCGTTCTTTCTTGTATACTTTGCACCGTCCACGGTCTTATGTTATTCCGATATGGGAAATAAGGACACGTTTTTTTTGTATAACTTCTGCCTTGTT